GTTGCCACCCATAACACATTTTCTTTTGGAGGTGTTGCACGAGGGTGAATAAATAGCCACCTCTGTACTTCACCCAAACTGTAGTACACGACCTATCTTAGTACTACTGCCACCTCTGCTCGCCACCCTCAATGGCCGCAGACATTTTCGTACCACCACAATAGTTACTGATCGGTGAAACATTATAAAGAGTTGTAATACATAGAACATGATATCCCGATTTGTAACTATGGGTCACGTACTAGTACAAAAAATGGTTAGCTTCTTTTTTTAGATTTTTCCCATGAAAATATTCCGTCTATGGAATTTCATGTTTCCCAGGCGTTCCAAATTCAATTGCTCATATAAATTGTTGTCATAAATATGGAGTTGTCATGTTGGGTTCTGATTTTGAGCCTTATGCCAAGAATCGTAAATATTATTTTTTTTTATCTGGTAATTTTAGTCACGAATTAAATTTTTTTTTTTATGTATAGTCAATAATGCCCGAGTTGTCTTTGGTGCAAGTGTTATTATTGGAGATGATAACTTTCAAAATATTATAAGTAGTCGCCTCACTTTTGTTGATAAATCAATGCTCGTAAAAGAGTTTATTGAGAGTTCGGATTTTGTATCACTTATTCTTCGTCCTCGCCGATTTGGCAAGTCAACAAATTTATCCATGTTAAAACACTTTTTTAAAATACCATATTCCCAAGGAGAAAATGATGTCAACAAGAAGCTTTTTGAAAAACTGAAAATTTCAACTGAATGTGAAATTATGCAAAAACATTTTGAGCAATATCCTATCATTCATATCTCTCTTAAGGTTCGGTTATTGTTAAATTTTATTTAATACGATTTTCTATTTTTTTTTTTTTTTTACTCACGGTATATCATAAATAGGATCTAAACGCCGAAACATGGAATGATATGATATCAGAATTAAGAATACTTGTAGCTGAAATTTATGGTGAACACTACCACCTTATTAACAATTTACGTCCCCATGAACAAACGATATATCAACAAATTCTCGAAAGAACTTGTAATATATCAGAATTGAAATTTTCTTTGAAGGCACTTTCCATGTATTTGCGACGACACTATAAAAAGAAATGTATCGTGTTGATTGATGAATACGATTCCCCAATGGAACGTGCTTATAATAAAGGATATTACGAGGTTGCAAATGATTTTTTTAAAGGCATGTTCTCGTCATTATTGAAGGTAAGACATATTTGTAATTTTTTATTATAATCTGATCGAAAATTCATCTCTATATCTGATTGAATAATAGAGCAATTCTGAAAATGTTGCAAAAGCTATGTTGGTTGGTGTATCGCGGATCGCAAAATCGGGGTTCTTGTCTGGGTTGAATAATCTTAAGGTCTACCCTTTACATAAAGAACATCAATTTTCTCTTTATTTAGACAAATTTGGATTCACATCTGATGAGGTAAAATTATTATTGCCACTATGTAAAAATTTGCAAATTAATGATGCACGGAATTGGTATGATGGCTATATCGCGGGAGGCACTATCCATTTATATAATCCGTGGTCCATTGTTAATCTACTTTCAGATGGTATCTTACGTAATTATTGGACGGAGACAGGAAGTACTCAAACATTGGAAAAATGCATATGGAAAGCAAGCTCTTCATTTAAGGAATCCGTTGAGAAATTGTTAAAAGGTGAAAGTATAACTAATGTTAAGATTCAAGATGATCTTCAATATTTACATTTAGATGAAAACTAAGATTTGGCTATTTGGACACTTTTGTACTATGCAGGATATCTGAATATTAATTCTGAGAATCATCTTTTTATTCCAAATGATGAGATTCGTTCAGAATGGCATAGATGGGTGGTCAATGTACCATTTTTTACTAAAGGGCAAACTATCGCATCGATGTTAGACTGTCTTTTAGGTGGAAATCTGGATTCATTTAAAAAAGAATTTGAGCAAGTGATTGTAGATACGCTTTCATTTTATGATGTCGGAGGGTCTCATTCTGGAGAAAATGCAGAATTTGTTTATCATGCCTTTTGTTTAGGAATGTTTGCTAATGCTCGTGATCGAGGTTTTACGGTTCTTTCTAATCGTGAGTCTGGTTATGGGAGATACGATATAGCAATATTTTCAGAATCAGGTGGCTATGAGATCGCCATTATTATTGAATTTAAAGTTGTTAAAAAAAATAAAAATTTAGTCGATATGGCTCGTCAAGGATTGGATCAAATTAAAGAGAAGCAATACCAAGCAGGTCTACATAAAGATACCAAAAAACTTTTGGAGATAGGAATTGCGTTTGAAGGAAAAAAAGCTTGTGTATTAGGGCATTTATTGCATAGGACAGAAGAAGGTACATGGAACAGGGATTTGATTTCAGATTAACGTAATATCATTTGTTTATCTAAGATAGTAGTAAACAACAAATTTGGTCTATAAGTATCTACGTATATATCCATGAAAAAATTTTTCAGCAACGACATCAGCATCATTACTGCATAGTTTAACTTTTCAGAAACGTGAACCGAAGCAATTATTTTTATTTATTTGTATAACCTGTATAATTATTTATCCTGCATCAATAAAGCTGACTTTGGTGGGTGATTTATCGTAAACAATCGTGTTTACTTTTGCATTTTGCATGTGTATATTGTATTGATATCACGCATATATGATCGAGAACTTTTCTTGGCATCTCCGTAACGGAACCACGTGATATTATAGGGTTAACTGATTCATTTTTTGTTTGATGATATAAATTTTATATAAATCAATAAAATCGGGATGAACGTTTATTTAGCCGATAATATGTTACTACAGAAGAAATTTGAAATTTATTATATTTTCTATATAGGAAGGTGGTTGGCCACCTCTTATATCGGGCATACTTATATCACTATTTTGCGATGCATTATGGGTTTGAGCAATATTAGCTAAAATATTATTATTATGGTTAGAATTTTCGTCCTCATTATTTACATTGCTTCATTATCTCGGTTAGACTCTCTCTCCTATTACGAGATGCCGAACGATTCCTTTGGCAGTGGACTCAACAATGATGAAATTTCCTCGTAAGATGGTGGTGGTGTATTGTTACGGCGTCTTATCCCCTGCCGTCTTGAGGATGCGTTTACATTGTGTATTTGATCAAATTGCGTTTCTATAATTTTAATACATAGAATAGAAGTCACAAATCGATAAAAATAATTAATATATTTTTTTGCTCATTAGACACTATAGGCTGACAAATGTTCGAAACTCATCAAAGTATCGCCATATATTGAAACATCATCTAGTGAAAATTTAGTCATAGAATTATTATAACAAATTATCCAGTTGTATCAAAAGTGTGAAATAAAAATACTTACGGTGTGATCCCTTACAAGATTTTGAAATTTTCCTTTACATTGATATCCCGTATAATTAGTACGAAATCTCTCATTGATTGTATTTGCGATATTATTCCAAAAATTTACTCGGTCCACATCACTAAGTCTCCAACTGAGATACACCTTTTTTCATACAATAAAATTTACTGCAACTCAACCGCGACTCAACTGTGGATTAGTACATCATTAAATTAACCATCAGATATTCACGGCATAACACCCTAAAGAAGTATCTCGGACTGAGCGATCTTAATACTGGAATTGAAATAAATGCTCACGGTTCGATTGTTCCTATAATTCCTAAACAAGATCTTAACAATGCACAAAATTTAAATACCCGAATCAGACTTGAAGAGCTGAAAGTGAACCAAACACAAATTCCACTAACATCTAGTGATAAAGGCGAGGATGCATTAGTAAATAATTTTACTATAGATATTTGATATATGATTTAAAAAACAGTTGATAATAATTAATATTTTATTTAGATTTGAGGCATGCTCAATTAGTAAATTAAACTGTATAAAAATCTCTCAATTTTTATATAATTTTTATATAGTTTTTTCATTGTTATGATGTATTAGCATTGTTATTAGGCATGATACAATGCATTGTTAAAGTATAGTGTTTACTGTACTGCTTAAAAATTATTATAACTATGCAAAGATCACAATAAAAATATATATTAGTTAAAACTTCATTTCCTTTTATTGATTTTAAACTTTATTATTCTATTAGAAGTTTTTTCAATAGAAACAAAGAAAGGTATGGGTATTTTAATAAAAGAATTAGATTTATGAAGAGTGAAATTTAGATTTAAAAAGAGCGAGATCTTAAAAAAAATAGAAAAATCGAATAACGAGTTAATTAAATTAATTTATAATTTAAAAAAATTAATCGGTGTAATATAAAAAAAATGTGCTGAGATGTTTTTCGCAAAATTTAATATTTTAAAAAATTTAAATTATTAAAAATATATAAATTTTTAATAAAAGATATTATACACTTTAGGAAAATTATACATTTTTGTTTTTTTTAATTATATTTATTTTTTTTAAATAATTAATAACAATAAACTTTTGCCATGGTAGCAACTATACATGTTTCCAAAATTGATTTTGAATTTTTGAGATATTTTGACTTTTTGAGATTTATGCAGAATCTATTCTATATATGGAAGTAAAAAAAGTATCCAGTTA